ACTAAACTGTAAAATCTATACCAGAGGTGTCAAACTCAATTTCATTGAGGGCCGTATCAGAGTTGTGTTTGACCTGGGGGGGCCGGGGGACATGGCCAGCTCGACGTCACTCGTGTCGGGGGCGCCTGTGGTGGCCTGAGCGCACTGCCAGCGAAAATGGGCTCATGAACTCTGCTTTTGGCTGCAACGGCCTCCTGCAACCCTCTGCCAACGAAACCGGAGCTTGGGAGCGCTGCCCGTGGCCCTTCCAAGTTCCATTTTCACTGGCAGAGGCACTGCTGGCTGGTCCTTTGCTGTTTCCAGGGCAGCCTCATGGGACGGATCTAAGGACCCCACAGGCCGGATCCGGCCCCGGGCTTTGAGTTTGATACCCCTGATCTACACAGACTACTGGGAGCGGCGAAAGGCAAGTAGCCAGTAGCCACGCAAGATGATGACATGTGTGATGTTGACACATGTAGCACAATTCCAGGCTCATCATCCTGAAATAAGTTTTTGAACATCAAACAGAATTCTGAATATTTCATTACTTCTTCTCCCGCTTTACAAATATCCCATGCTGGGTGATTCCAAGTTAGCAGACCCTTTGCAAGCCAAATTCTGCTGATTTAAGGAAGGTTCAAAGCTTTAAATTAAGTTGATTAGTCACGAAAGATGCAACTGGGAAAAGGGAATATTTGCCAAAGCAAAACCTATCTGCAATAAAGATACTAAAAGTCCCCCAAATATTTTTTTTCCCCCATTTGAAAATTCACAGCTTAGCAATACAGTCAAAACCTTGATTCTTCAGACCTCCAGCAGACAGCATATGCCATGGGCATTTTGTTTTTCTTTTTATTTTGGACTTCATCCCTAAATAGTGGAGAAAATCCATGATTTCCACAACATTCCAGACAACTGATCTAATTTACATCAACTGCAACACTTCCGTCATGATGTTCCTTTGTGCCATTTGTCTCCATTCCGTGCCATTAGAGCAGGGGTGTCAAACTCGATTTCATTGAGAGCTGCATCAGGGTTGTATTTGACCTCGGGGGATTAGGTGGGCATGGCCAGCATGACGTCACTTGGGTCGGGGGCGCCTGTGGTGGCCTGAACACTCTGCCGTTAAAAAATGAGCTTCTGAGCTCCATTTTCGGCTCTGACGGCCTCCTGCAATTCTCTGCCAATGAAAACGGAGCTCAGGAGGGCCATGCACGGCTCTCGTGAGCTCTGTTTTCACTGGCAGAAGCACCACAGGCCGGTCCTTCACTAATTCCAAGGCAGCCCCCCCGGGCCAGATCTAAGCACCCCTGGGAGCACCCCGGGCCTTGAGTTTGACACCCCTGCATTAGAGTAATGACAGAATTGAAGAAAGGGCAGACAATGGAGACAAATCATGGAAAACCACTGACAATATAATTACACAAAGGATATCAATTAGGTCAAGGTTATCAATTCTATTTCCTCCACCCCAACTGTCCATTCACTTGAGGTTTTGCTGCACTTTGCTAAGGAATATAGAAGAGGGATATCCAGGGTTACAGGTAGTCCTCAACTTACAACAGTTCATTTAATGACCTTTTGAAGTTACGACACCAAAAAAGTGACTTATCACCATTTTTCACACTCCTAACTGTTGCAGCATCCCCATGGTCATGTGATCAAAATTCAGATGTTTGGCAATGGACTCATATTTATGACGGTTGCAGTGTCCTTTTGCAACCTTCTGACAAGTGAAGTCACTGGGGAAGCCAGATTCACTTAACAACCATGTTACTAACGTAGCTACTGCAGTGATTCACTTAACAAATGTGGCAAGAAAGATTGTAAAATGGGGCATAAGTCACTTAACAAAAGTTTCACTTGGCAACATAAATTTGGGCTCAATTGTGATCGTAAATTGAGGACGAGCTGTAGCAGCTTTGAGGGGGACTTTATTGGAGTAGCTTCTGGCCAGCTTTTTATGTTTAGGTCTTCTACAACTTCTAACCCTGAGGTCTAATCCCTCTGAAAGGCAGTGGGAAAGTTTGAAGGAAACAGGAAGTGGGGAACCCCATGGCTGGGGGGGGGGGGGCTTAGAAAATTAGGAAGTTTCTGAACCAGGCCTGTGATTCTGGACAATTGTCCTCAAAGCCCTTGGAGAACTGGGGACAATCAGATCAGACTGATAGAGAAAGTTTAGACCTGGGACGGACTCTTTAAGTTTCAATACTGCTTCTGCTGTTCCAAGAAAAGTTTTCATATCCTCCTTGTCCTGATTTGTTAGTTCTGGTAAACAGTTACTAGTTTTCTTGCAAATCTTCACCTCATCCAACCTGATGCACCTGGCCTTCTTTTTCACATCCTCCCATTGCCCCCTAATTAAAACAGACACCCCTTTTAATTATTATTATTATTATTACTTCAATGTTAGATTTACAAGTCAGCAGGGCAAACTCCAAAGCAGCTTGGGCCTGGTAGCCTTGGGGAAAGACATTTCCTGTTCTGCCCCAGTGTTTCCAGATTCCAGGTGTAAGGAGCATCTTCCCAAGAACAGGGAGTGACAGAGAAGGATGGAGATCTCAGCTCCCAGATGTCTGGCAAGCAGATATGTTTGTCTCACCCACAGCCGCACCATCTCCCTTGCTATAGCCAGTGAATGCATAGTTAGGTATGCATCCCCCCAAGGAGCATTTGAATCCCTCACCCACACCCATCAAGCATCCCCAGGATCTGCCTTCTCTTCTCTTTGGCTTTGATGGTCCATGGACCTCTCCCAACTCACCGCTGGCCCCAGAGGCCAAGACCTGCAGCCAATCTCAAATGCTGTTTGATCTGATGAGCTTTTCTGGTGGACTGGTGTCATTGTAAGAGGGAAGGAAAGTACTAACAATGGGGTCTTCTTTTCAGGATGAGCAATAGCCTGTTTGTTAACCCCTAGGCTCAATCATCCTCCAGTTTGTCAAAAATAGCATCCAGGTGAGAACCTGGGCCTTGTGCGGTCATGTATACCTTATTATTTAGAAGAAGACAGGTGATTAGAAAGATTGAATGTCTTCTTTTTTAAAAAAAAAAATCTTTCTGCCCAGCTAATAGAAAACTGGATTGCCATCAGTGTGTGAGGACTGATCCACTGGGAGAAAAGAATAAGGGTGTTCTGTGAGAAGGGAAGACAACATATGGATAGGATATCCATTTGGACTTGAAAAACCAGGTCATGGGATGGATCATCAGGGGAAATAGCTACCAATGTGGTCTCCAGGAGTTGAAAACCACTGGATGGCCATCCCATAATCCGTTTCATGCTTGGACTCTTGATCCCTTGCCACATTGAACTCGTGCACATCCTGCAGTATTTATGGGGTGGAGGGCTCATTCTGGAAGGTTTAGTCTAATTTTGCACCCTCAACCCTCCCAAATCCTCTTCGTTAGTACCAAAGGAAATGCTCAGCACCCTGTCTTCCCTTGGTAGATGAAACTGGCCAGGAGGCAGAAGATGGGAAGAACAAAGAGCCCACAGGGAAGAGCCTGAGATACGGTTATTCACAAGTCTTGCTAGTAAAGCCCCCCTAGCCAGAACAGCCTTGGGGATGGTCCTTTGGAGCCAGACGGTGAAAGAGCAGCTGCCGGCCAAACACAGTTTATTCTTTCAGATCAGGCGCACCACTTGCTAAAAGCACAAGCATTTTGCCTTAGGGGGGGGGGGGGGGGCAGAGGTTAATTGGCAAGCCACCAGCCACTCAACCGCGTTTTGAGCCCAGAGGGACCACTGCACCCTGCTCAGCTCTTTCATTACCCTGATAGGTTTTTTCACGTGTGGGATAACAAGGCGTCTTAATACTTTCCGGGTAACCTGTGAGAAATAACATAGGAAAAACAAAAGTCGATACGTGTTCTGCCCGAGTCCGGAAGGACACAGTTGATGGACAAAGAATCCATAATTTAGGACTCAAAAAGAAGGAGAAAAAGGAATCTGCAGGAGAGAATTTACTTTTCGGGTGACGGTATTGCCTTCTTCGTCCGTGAACTGCTCTTGCGTGACTGATTCACCTGGAATGTTTTTGGCTTCCTCGCCCTAGTAGAGAACAGGTCAAAGGATTAGCCCTACTCACTTGGGGCCATCTCTGCTTTTCAACACCAGTCCAAGCAATAAACTCATGCCAAGCCAGGCCAGATTTTCTTGTTAGAGACAATCAGACATCTAGAGTGTCTTATGACACATGATTCATGGTTTCAATTCTGTGGATCATGCTGAACATATACTTATGTTGTCAAAGGCCATTTATGGGTGGCTGCTGCTTTCAGGAGAGCAATTTATACTGTGGATTTGGTGCTGTATACCTAGGAAATTCGTCTAGGAAACTCAGGGCTAAACCCATGGAGAAGGTTTTGTAAGAACTCCCTACAAAGGGAGTTATTGGGCACAATCACTACTTCATTTTGATAGCCCTGAGAACCTCTGAAATAATTCTTCCCTGCTGCCATCTCAATCCTCCATAAATCTTGTTTTGAAGACAAAGTTATTACTTGTACAATTTTATGGATCTTTATTCAGGAGAAGCCCATGCTTAGTTGTGCTGGTCCTAATACAACCCTTGAACTAAGATTAGTTCTTCATGAAAAACAGTTTACCAGAATCTCTCCAAAGATGAGTAAAAAAGCAGAGCTCCTTTATTCCCAATGACTTTGGGCAGATAAGGCTTCTCACTTATCTCAAGAAGCTCCAGCTGGTCATTATTTAGCACACAATCACACTGCTTGTGCAAGATGTTTCCTTGTATGGGAAGCATCATCATATTAGGCAAAACACTCACTGATGAGAGTTTTAAGAGCCTTAGATAATACCAGGATGGCTGGGGGCTAAATTAACCACATAGAAAGATTAGAGAGTTGATAACCCTGTCTTTATGATGCTAACAAACTCTTCTGTGTCCTTGTTTTACTCCATCTCTTGACAACGCTGGGGAAAGCTGAGCAAGCTTTGAGTGTTCATACAAGATAGGATGTAAACTGAATCATCATTGTTATTATCCCAACAGCACCAGCAAATCAATGTCACAACCTACAACAACAGATCAGCTTCCCCAGAACTACCTTCACGAGAAGCCTTGTGACGTCCCCGGGATTCCTGTCAAACTGGATCGGGAGCAAAGCCCAAACAGGTCCACAATCGCACAAAACTGGAAGAGGTCCAATGTCTCTGTTTACATTGTGGTTTGGACTATCTAGATCAGGGATCTCCAACCTTGGATCTCCCAGAAATTCTGGGAGTTGAAGTCCACAAATTGTCAAGGTTGGAGACCCCTGATCTAGATCGCAGGTCTGGATGGAGGTGTTGGTAATAATCTCTCTCCCACCCTTAATGCTCACAGTATTCTTTACTGTTCAACAGCAGTAATTGTGTGTGCTTGTATTTACACAAGCGGCTTTGAGGAAGATATCCAGAAGAATGTTGTGAGAAAGAGAAATTGAGTTAACACATTTGTTTGGAGAGCGTCATTGATTAAACTATGGGGATGATTCAGGACATTTTTCCTCTTAAGATGAAAGGCAAAATGGCATCAACTATGCATGGACAAACACGAGCAGGATCGATAGTTGAACCCTTCTGCAACCCTGATTGTGGAACAGACTGGCTCCTGATTCTCAATGCAACAGACAAGTTGAAGGCCTTTCCAAGGACCTTGACTTTTTCCCCTGATTTTATCTTTCCATCTGTAGAGTCCCCCAGTTACTACACCCAGTCGTGGAATACAAAATTTTTTACTACAGGTTCTGTGGGCATGGCTTAGTGGGTGTGGCCAGGGGGTGTGATAGGCAGCACTCGGCCTCCTGCACCCCCTGGTAGCAAAAATGGGCCACAAGGAGGGACGTGCTGCCCCCTGCACCACATTTTGGGCCTAGGAGACCTCCCTGAAGCCTCCTGGGAGTGTAAATGGGCCGCGAGGAGGGATGCACCCCCCGCACCCCATTTTGGGCCTAGGAGGCCTTCCTGCACTTACCTGGGAGCCAAAACGGGGTGCGTGGGGACTCCTGGAAGGGGCGGGGCAGGAAGGGGCGGGGCCAGCCATCAATTTAACTACCGGTTTGCCCAAACCGGCTGAATCCCACCACTGACTACACTGCTTTTGAACACATGTAGCGTATTCAACTACATTCCAGTGCATTTAGAGTCATGCATATACAGCCATGCAACACAGGACGGGATTATGCGCAACAACCCAGACTGCAATCTGGTAGGTCCTCCCAAGAGGTCTGTAGGTTGTGCAAGGGACAATACAAAGAGAGTGTCTAATGGTGAGCCACACGATCCGCACTGCAGTCCAAGTCCACTCCATGCCAAGGGGCACCACCATCACACAATACCTTCAGAAAGAACCGCCGGCGATAAACCCTCGTAACGATCCTCTGCTCTTCACCTGAACTTGAATCACTCTGAATCTCACATTCACTGTCACTGTCACTCAACTCCTGATAAATGCAGTTTTAGTAACATTTTTACTGGCTCGTTTAAAACATAAAAATGAATCTGAGCAAGAAGAGAGGAGAAATGGCTTCCCCCAAATTTAGATTCACCTCCCCCAACTACCATCCTAGGGACCACACTTCTAAATGAGGGGCACACAGCCATGTTGCCTTGATATCGTTTACGGCAGGGGTCTCCAACCTTGGCAACTTTAAGGCTTGTGTAAGAGATGAAGCTGGCTGAGGAACTCTGGGAGTTGAAGTCCACAAGTCTTAAAGTTGCCAAAGTTGGAAAACTCCGGTTTATGGCATAAAAACAGATTTGCACATGCTTGTGCAACAGCTGTAAACTCTTGTGTCTACAAGCTTTTTATGAGCAAGGAGGGACCAGAGTGCAGATACACCTTCCTTACACATTTCCCCACTATTCCTTGCTACCCTCAAAGATCCTTTCATTTTATAGCAACAGCTCTGTTTTCCAAAACCAAAGCTATTCTCGCAGTGTTATATGCCCAATGCCCCATCTCTTTCTAGACCAAACTAAGATTAGTGGCACGTTCTTCTTTTGTTGTTGTTGTTATTGTTAAACAGGATTTGAAACACTACTTCGAAAAGCAGTTTCAAATTTGAGTTATGCCAAGAATTTTGCTTAATTCTGCAGACCACCAAGGCAAAATAGTCCCTTATGCTTTAGCTCTCCATCCAGCTTTATGTATATTTTCCCAGCCAACAATGCATATTCTGTCATGAATTTCAGGAAAGAATGGTTGAAAAGTGCACTATTTGCATGGAGAATCCACCCTCAAGCTGGAAGTAAGGTCAACCTGCTACACAACTGAAGCACTTTCTAGGGATTTCTCCCACCCCAAAATGGGCTAAGCTATGATTTGATGGCATTTGGAAGGTGGATGCATCTTACACAGTGGTGGGTTTCAAATTTTTTTTATTACCGGTTCTGTGGGCGTGGCTTGGGTGTGGTGTGGCTTGGTGGGCGTGGCAGGGGAAGGTTACTGCAAAATCCCCATTTCCACCTGGTCAGCTGGGACTTGGGAGGCAGAGAATAGATTGGGGCGGGGCCAGTCAGAATTTTTACTACCGGTTCTCCGAACTACTCAAAATTTCTATCAGTTCTCCAGAACTGGTCAGAACCTGCTAAAACCCACCTCTGATCTTACATACATTTCCTGCCTTTTGTGGGACTTTTCCTCATGGCTCAGCCGTTTTGCACGAGCACCTCATTTATGTGTGTATCTACACTCACATTGAGAACCTGGCTTTAATCAAGGGGAGTTTGGTGAATGGATGGGGGGGGGGAACTGCAGAATAAAAACATGATGCTCTGCGCGTTTGATTCCCGCACGGCCATCACGGGGACCCTGGCATGCAGCAGCTCGTCTCCCGACCACGTCTCAGGGACGTGGAGGAAGGGGCAGCTGCAGGAGAAGCAAGAATGAGTGGCAAATGGTGGCCTATCTCCTCCTCCCTGAGCAAACCAAAGTTTGTGGCATTTATACCTTGTGTTCTGATGCAGCCGCTATTCCATCGTCTTCCTGAGCTTTTGATCTTGGCTTGCTGCTGTCAGAAATATTCCAGCTTGTCTTTTTCATGCTAACAGGCACAGAGGTTTTAGGTGTATCAACTGCTGGCTTGCTTGCCTCTTGCAAGGATTTCTGGTGGGATGTTAGTGAGATTGTTTGCTGCTCAGTTCGGAGAGAGCTTTGCATTTTTGGTTTCAGAGTTTCCTTGTCGCTCTGTTTCCCTAGACTGTTCACAGAGTCCTGGACAAAAGTCTTAGCCTTTGCTTCTAGCGTAGATTCCGAGTAGCTCCCGTTGGTCTCCAGTTTTCCTGCTTCCCCTTTGAAATATGAGGTAATAGAATCTCTACATTGACCAAGGCTGCAAGAGAGGAAGAGCCAAACCCAAGAAATAAGTAACGGTATCATTAAATCACTTCTCCACAGGTACTCCTCAACAGGCTGGCATATAGGGATTACAAAAAACTGTGACTGCAGCTCTAAGGTAAGTAATTATCTACAAGTTGTGGCTCTGGAAGTTGGTATCATTCCAGATATGCCATAGGATGTATCTAGCTTCTAGCCAATACGAGTCTTGAAGGATCATCGTGATCCTCTTCGGAAATAAATCTGGACTTGAGCAAGGTGAGTAGGCTTGCTCCTCTGTTCCATAATGACAAGATGCTTTTGAACAGCAGACAAGCTCCAAAGGAAGAAAGATTTCCCCGGATGGATATTGACACACAGTTGGGTTGATCCTGGATTCTTGTGGGAACAGCCTACAGCTTCTGAAATTTTCTCTCTGTATTCCCCAGGTGATTGGAACAGCTAACAAGATCCTGATAAAATTGCCAGATGTTGTAGGCACATCCACAAGGAGCAGGAACCCTTGGTGATCATTCTGGAGCTTTGGAATGGCCTCCCCAGAGCCTGGTTGTCTTTGTCTCTCTCCCTCCCTGCCACTCCCTCCCCCCCTTTCCTCTCTATCTCTCCCTCTCTCTCTCTCTGTCCCTCCCTCTCCCTCTCTCCCCCTCCCTCCCCCTTTCCTCTCTATCTCTCCCTCTCTCTCTGTCCCTCCCTCCCTCTCCCTCCTCTCTCCCTCCCTCCCCTCCCTCCCCCTCTCCCTCCCCCTCCTCTCCCTTTCCTCTCTATCTCTCCCTCTCTCTCTCTCTGTCCCTCCCTCCCTCTCCCTCCTCTCTCCCTCCCCCCCTCCTCTCCCTCCCTCCCTCTCTCCCCCTCCCTCCCCCCTTTCCTCTCTATCTCTCCCTCTCTCTCTGTCCCTCCCTCCCTCTCCCTCCTCTCTCCCTCCCTCCCCCTCCTCTCCTCCTCCCTCCCTCCCCCTCCTCTCCCTCCCCCTCCCTCCCTTTCCTCTCTATCTCTCCCTCTCTCTCTCTCTGTCCCTCCCTCCCTCTCCCTCCCTTCCCTCCCTCTCTCCCCCTCCCTCCCTCTCCCTCCTCCTCTCTTTCCCTCTCTCTCTCCCTTCCTCTCTCTCTTCCCCTCTCTATATTTGGGCTCTTTTAAATCCTTTGAGAGCTACACTTAGTCTCCTAGAATTCTTTCTATCTCTGCTTTGAATGAGGATTAAGTGCTGGCTTTGATTTCACTGCCCTAAATATCAGTGTATATCTATGTCTTGAGAACATCAGAATTGGTCTATAAAATACCATTAACTAAATACTTAAAGCTATTGGTCCCTTCTTTTGACGTGTCAAATATTTACATGCTTCCATCTAGCAGGAAACAAATTAAGACACGTATTTTTTTTAAAAAAACCTCCACAATATGAGAAAAGCAGAAGAACTGATCAGTCTGAGACTTGGCTGTGTCAGCCTTATCGCCCCGTACCTGTCGTCCAATCGATTTAGCAACTCTCCGCTTATTCTGCGTCCTGAAGACGTTGGTTCCACCTTGACTCGGGGGGCCTCGTTCTGCCAACCTGTAATTGAAGACATTTCCTGTTCGGCCTGCTGCACATAGTTAAGTATAGACAAGACTTTCTCTTCTGTCATTTCCTCAGACTCGGCAATTTCTTCAAGGCAAATATCTTCAAACAGAGACTTAAGCTTTTTGTCCGTCAGCTCCTCATCAGTACCAGACCAATTTCTCTCGTGGCGTTCAGTCCTCACTAAGGGTTGACTACTCTCTTCGCCCAGCATCTGCATTCCAGCATAGCTACCGAGATACCGAGGATAATCCTTCAGGTGGATTTCTTCCAGTGGGTTTTGGCCTGCATCTTTAGAGGCTCCTTCTAGAGGCACCGAGTATTTGCCATCTTCCAGTGAGGTGTCTTCTTCAATGACCACGGGAGGTCCTTCAGCCGTCTCTTCTAGGTTTCCCTGTGAAGTTGCTAAGACATCACTCAGTCTACTAGGAGTTCTAAGGGGTGATTCTATGCTAGAGAAATCACTAGCCAAATCATCTTGATGGAAATGGCTGGGTGGCACGAAGCACAACCCAGAGGGGGGTTCCAGTTCCATTTGAAAGGTGGGGTAACCTAAGGAAGACAGCACATTTGGACTGATTGCCATGAAGAATGGAGTAACATAAAATCAAGCATTCAGAATGGCTGAGTACTTAGAACATGAGAACTGCATGAAACAGCAAGAACAATTGAATCAGGAATGGGACAAAGAATTCTTCAGAGAGCACAACCAAACTGAAGTCAGCAGAACTGGGAGCACAGCACACACCGGCAGCTGGTCTCTCTCTATTCACAGCTACTTTGATGATTTCTCAATCAGCTGGACAGAATCTCAATTTTTGGTTCAACGATTATATATATATGAATAATGGCGATCTGCAGCATAACAATTCATTTCTGCTTTTATTATGGCTCACAGTGTTTAAATGGAAAAAATAAATAAAGTAGCTGCCTGCAAAACAGGCTAATATTTTACAAGAATTTTAAAAATTGCCTTCATTTTTATTATAGGCATCTCTTTTTAATACTGACCTAATAACACCACGCATAATGATTATTGTGCTACATTCTTCAATTTAGTCAGTGCCCTTTGCAAATGGATTCGATGTAGAAAATAGAAATAAATTTCAGGTAGGACAGAAAAAGGTAGTTCTTGATCTATGACAGGAAAAGACAACCTATGGGGTGGGGGAAGGAGGGAGGGGAGAGAACCTATAGATCAACTCCAGGAATCGTGTAACTCTAGAGAGGAGAGTATTGTGATGAGTGAAGAGACCTTGGTGATCTTGGAGACACAGGCGATCTTGGTGACACAGGTACAATCAGAAACACTGAGATCAAATAAAGAAAAGGAAAGGAGAAGCATGAACACAAAGGAGCCATTGTTCCCCAGGACAGGAATGGCCAAGGCAGCAGGTTCCGCCCTTGTCAATTTTTAATCAAGGTGAATTCCAAAATGTGGAAATCGGGGTGTCTCATGCTGGCTGAGGAATTCTGGGAGTTGAAGTCCACAAATCTTAAAGTTGCCAAGCTTGGGGACCCCTGCTCTAAATGTTAGAGAAGGTTCCACATCCTTCTAAGGGGATCAATGAATGTGCTCCTCATGTTTACTAGAAGGAAGCACGGCAATTACCAATAGCACTTAGACTTATATACCACTTCACAGTGCTTTACAGCCCTCCAAACTAAGCAGTTTACAGAGTCAGCATATTGCCTCCAACAATCTGGTCATCATTTTATTGACCTCAGAAGGATGGAAGGCTGAGTCAACCTTGAGCCGGAGAGAATCAAACTCCTGGCAGGAGGCAGAGTTAGCCTATAATACTGCATTCTAACCACTGCACCACCACAGCTCATGTCAACCTGACCATTGACTGTGGCACTGTGTGCTTGTCAGAAAATTATTCCCAGCATCCAGAACAACAGCCAGAGTAAGGAAAACATTGCAGGAGACTGAGCATTGACCATGCCTGTCCTAGCATTTAGTTTCAGCATAGAAATGAAATGGCAGATGAATGGTATAGTTGCATAATCCCACAGGTAAATATTAGGCTAACCCATCTGACAAAAATGGGACGTTCAGCGTTGAGATATGGCATCTGGAAGCGACGTGCATTAATTATGATGTTGGTTGGTTGGTTGGTTCTCTGAATCCACTGAGAGAAAGTTAAGATGCAGTCTGGTCTTGGTGAGGATAAGGAGCTTTAGAGATGCTTGGAGAAGAGGAAGGACAGAACGCAAAACAAGAGAAGCACATTCTTTTTAGAGGGAAGAAACCCATTTCACGATTGAACAGCACAAGCCACATTTCAAGAACAAATTTCTTAAAATGTCCACAGAACTTATATTTCTGCATTGCAGCGATTTAGGGGCCAGCCCTGCTGCTCAGAGACGGGGAATGCTTGATGCCTTGCATTGAGCCAGGAAATGCTTCCCTCCCCCAGGAGGCAGCACCCCAGAACATGGATTCTTGGATGTATGCATATGCAAGTCGACACATGCATATATACTCATCTTGCATGTTCAGGCCAGCACAGTATTTCATAAGCAGCCTAGCAACATGTCAAAAGCCAAAAAGTAATTGCTGTAACTTTGTTCTTGATTGCACCTCCGTGTTTGAAAGCAAAACATTAACAGCCTCAAGAAAAAACTCTGGG